GTAAATATTTATTTAAATAAGTATCCTACTTTTTTATTTTGCGATTTTAACAAATAAATCATATCTAAATTGCTACAATTTTGCCTACTGCCATCTGTCGGTGAGATGTATTTTTAGGTGGCCTTTTCACTAAAAGTGTATGCCAGTGAGGTAAACATAAATAAATCAGAGGTAATATTTAATGTTAAACTCCATCCGTTCTTTAATGAATTATAATTGTTGTTATCATACTTCCAGTTGGGTTGTTCTGTTGATATTTCTTTCGTCCGTTAGAAGTTATTCAGTTAATTCATTCTTAAAACACCTAACCTTCAATTTCTGCTGTTATTACCCTAATAGTGTACCTCGGTTTTATTTACAGCCATGGTTCGAATGAACGTTTTAAGTGATGCTCTTAAATCTATAAACAATGCAGAGAAAAGGGGGAAAAGGCAGGTACTCATTCGCCCATGCTCAAAAGTTATCGTTAAATTCTTAACAGTGATGATGAAGCATGGATACATTGGTGAATTTGAAATCGTCGATGATCACAGATCAGGAAAAATAGTTGTAAATTTAACAGGAAGATTAAATAAGTGTGGCGTTATTTCTCCTAGATTTGACGTTCCAATTAGGCACATTGAAAAGTGGACTAACAATCTTTTACCTTCTCGACAGTTTGGGTAATTTTTGTGATTGCTATTTTTTAACTTATACTCCATATAACTTACAGTTAACTCTTAATAATAACATGAGAAATGTTGTATTTTTGTGTAAATGTTTATTGAAATATTTCTGTTCATGTTTCAGATATGTAGTTCTCACAACTAGTGGTGGCATTATGGACCATGAAGAAGCAAGGAGAAAACATTTAGGAGGAAAAATTTTGGGATTTTTCTTCTAATGTAATTATTTAATAAACAAATTTGTTTAATCTGTTGTTTATCTTAGCAAAAACCAGATTTATTATTGGTGAAGGACTTCATTACAAAGAAGGGATAATACTCAGTCAAAATTAACACTTTTCATCTTAATTTGATAAAACAAAAAGAAATTTGTTACCTACTTTTTATTTTGAGTAATTTGTATGCTACTCTACAGAATTAAATATTGTACATTTAATTACAGTCTTACAGAGTATTGCAAAATATAGACTTTATTAGTATTCAAAAGGAATATTTCTCTAATAGTAAAAATGGTGTTTTTTATTATTTATATTGCATTTCAAATTAATCATAAAATGTCTCCGTAACTTAATACTTTTTTTTAACAACAGAAGTGTTTACAAACTTTAAAAAACAATAAATATACAGTACAACAACAAAAAGAGCACTTATATACCACCAAACAAATGTAGTTTTTATTCGACTGTATGCTGCATAAATATAGCTCAATAATGATAAAGCTTTTCCAGTACCTTTGACTAAAAATATAGCAAAACGACTATATACAATAAAATTGTGCACTTAAAATAAATTGATTTTGTTTTGGCAGCATTTTGACACCATATTACTAATATGGTGCAAAAGTAGACTACTGTCTCAATTAAAAATGATTTATTATAAAAACAATCACAAAGCAGCCAAAAAATTAAACATGAACTAATTACTTAGCCCTTCAGTTAAGTTCGTTCTTGAATAAAGTGGATACTTTTTATTAACAGTCTACTTTTAAGAGGTATTGCACCAATTATGTCAACTGCTTAAGATAAAACTATCTGATTTTTTCTGATGCGTGAAGTATTTTCACGAATAGTAAACCAAAAGCGGTAGCTACAGCTATTCCTAAACCCGCTTTCCACCAAATTGCTGTATCAGATGAGTTTACACCAAATTGTCTGAAATTCCTGCAAAAAAAATAGTGTTTTTATAACTTTATTATACCTTACAAATTACAAAGAATGAAAACATTAAGCAAGACAAATAATTATTTAAGTAACGCATTTCACACATTTCATGCTGGTTATTATTGTAAGCATATTACATGCGTCAATAAAAACTAAACATTAAAAAATGTAAAACTTTTAGTTGCCACTCCACATATGGGATGATTATTTACAACGTTTCTTGCTACAACGAGTATTTACTCTTTGTAATAAGATAATATTACTTCTGAGTGAGTGATCTCACAATTTGCTCTTGTCCGGCTTTTTTAATACAGTAGATATTCGATAGTGAACAAAATATTAATTATGCTAGGCCACCGTATTTGCTATTTCTCCAGTCGTATTTTTTCGTTCATGTGATTACTTGCTGTCTGTTATTAATGTTAATTTTGTATTTAATATTTATTTTATTTCGAGTATTTACTGTATATTGCTAAAAACTTGAGTTGTTGCATCCCAAAAGACAGTGAAAAACTAGAAGAAAAGTGATTTAAACATTGAATTCCTCAAACTTTTCAAAATATGTACTGTGCTCAAACAGCAAGAGCATATTAATTTGCAACTTAACATGGTATTTTACCATCAAAATAATAACACTGCATCACACTTTCGAATAAAACAACCATACAAACAGAGTTTTTCATTGAACAGTCCACAAGACTAACAACCTCGACGCGCTACTTAAACGATACGAAACACGAGTTCCNCCCAGACTACATACACTTGTTTTTAAATGCATGCGGTTTTTAATACTTTGTTATTAAAAAATTACCAAAACTTTATAAACACATTAATTTTGTGTATAACTGAAAACAGCAATTAATTCATCTTATTCAAAAAGATATTTCTAAAAGAATATTTTTTACAACGTACCCGTACAAACAACTGCTATGCCTACAGAATTTTTTGTTTGCTGGACGTTCGTCACCCCACAGCCTCTTTTAGAAACGATTAGTATACAAATTTGCAACATCTTCGTCAGTTAGAGATTAAAAGTTTACAAAGTCAAACAAAACTCCAACCCTTCATTGTGCTTGTAGTAATTTTATGAATAGATACATGAAACATTATTATGCGAAAAAAATCGACGAAGTAATAACAGACGATAAAGTAGAATAAAACATCTGGGTCAAACAACTACATAACATAAGTCTTGCCCATTAAGTCTGCAAAACAAGTGTCTCCTTATATGTTTCATTGACATAATGAACCCGAGAATAAACTCTGAGCATATTAGTACTTAAGAGAGATGTCAGTAAGAGCGTGGAAAAATTTTGATGCATGCAAGGAATAGATAATTACGTCTATTTAAAATTTTTCTAATTAAGCGATCGTATTGCAGTAAAATAAATACCTAAACCTAAACTATTCCAGTACCTAAATATACAAAAATTCGCCTATTGATTTCATATATGTACTGTATCTACCTATAATGTGTATGACTCTAGCTAATAATTTTATTCAACCCCCGTATCTACATATATGAGCAATCTGTGGCTAATCTATAGTGAAAAAATTAATTTTTTGATCTGTAGATCGCGAGAAAGCGTATGATCTGCTGGAGTGATATTAATATGCAAATAGATCACAACATATTCATTTCAGTAGAACACGGGCTCTAATATTCAACATATTTTGTATCTAATTCATACCAAAAAAACTAATTTTGTAGAGTCTCTTTATCTTTATGTGCTGCTAGCTCGATATCATGTAAAACGACTCTGTGATCTTCTAGCATGGTATCAAGCTAACAGCACATCATCCGATTTCAATCACGTTACAAAATTAATTGTTTCACCACAAATTAACTACAAAATATTAGATATAAAAATTAGTCGAACATCGGCTGAAATGAATATGTGATATTAAGCTAACATATCGTCCGTTTTCTAGATTTTCAGTTTCTACAATATTAATTTTTTCACTACAAATTTACTGTAAATTACTGATGTTTAAATGTGGGACTTGAATAAGTGATCTGCTTGTGTGATACACATTATTATAATATACATATATCAACAGCAATAACAGATTAAATGGCATTAGACATTTGAAATCATAAAAATTATTATCATTCACGATAACAGTAATAACCTAATAACACTAGCACCCACTAACGAAGTTAGATTAATATAGGTAATTCAAATATTATAACCATAAAAAACAATTGTTTAAAATAATTAAGTATTAGGCACAACTTTAACAATTAAGTCAGCACTTAATATACTTTCTTTTTCATTGCTTTTCTACATTCCTAAAAATTATCTGTATTCGTTAAAATAGGGTAAAACTTGTCATGTTATTGTTATTATTGATTCAGAGGTGAATTAAAATGTTATTTGTTAAAGTATCTTTANATCCAAAATGATGAAATTCTATCGATGGTATCATCATCATCTACAGAATACACAACACAAATAACACTAGCTTTTTTAATTTGTTCATTTAACTGTTCATCACTTTGTTCTACAGAGGAATAATCAACAATGTTAGTTGGAACTTGTTCTGGCGTAACGTCGGCAGAAATCAATTAATTTTTTAGAGATAATGAGAGGATTTCCAATGCACCATTACTTTTGTAATGGTTAATATGATTTTTTTTACATAACTTATTACAAAAGTACCTAACGGTTAATGGAAAATATTTTTATTACTCATTATAGTAATCATTAATGTAAGCCGAGGGGTGGTGAAAAATGGCATACACACCAAGGGATGAAATTAGCATACGAACTGGGATATCTGTTACTTTTCCTATCTAGGTAATGGTAATAATATTTTACCAGGGAGCTCAAGACATCTTGGAATATATGGAATTTAAAATGTACAACGGTGTGGCCCATACGAAAAAGCTTACTGCGTCCCTGGTTTAATTATATTATATTATAAGGATAACTAATTAGGTACCTATAATAAGATATTCCTCCTAATAACAGGATAGACCATGAAAAAATTATTCCTGTGTGGTTTTACATGTAGACATTTGAATATCCTACCTAATATTATAAATGCAAATGTGAATTTGTTTATTACCATTACTCGACCGATAATCATGAAATTTTTTACACACATTATCAGGGGTATACAGAAAAGAAAAGGGTACCTTTTATCCAAACAAAATATACTGTTCCCGAAAGATAGAAAAATTAATTTTCATCGCCGATAAAGAAACAATATTTAGTGTCATTCTACACAAACTGAACCTTCAAAGTTAAAAACTTTAGTTTTATCCTAATGATTCTGGTCAAGATTATTTATCAAATTGTTGTATTTTCGATGATCTTTGGCAAGTACCTACTTAGGACATCAACGCGAACGAAGCGTAGGGTAAAAGCTTGTATTGTACAAATTCAAAGGAGTTTGCTACTCTAGTCTATTTTTTCTACAAAACAACAACAAATTTTATCAACACGATAAAGATGATTTGACCATAAGTTGCATGTATACACATAAACAAATATGTGCTTCATTCAGATACACTGATAAATAATAAACCCAGACTACATACACTTGTTTTTAAATGCATGCGGTTTTTAATACTTTGTTATTAAAAAATTACCAAAACTTTATAAACACATTAATTTTGTGTCCACTTTTTCT